AACGTGATGCTAATGTGCTACTAATAGGATGGTAACATTAAGCTAACATGATGTTAACGTGATGCTAACATGATGCTAAGTATGATACAAGCATAGAAATTACGCTTACATGATGCCAACATGATGCTAACGTGATGCTAACATGATTCTAACATGATACTAACAGGATGTTAACGTGATGCTAATGTTCTACTAATAGGATGGTAACATTAAGCTAACATGATTTTAACGTGATGCTTACATGATGCTAAGTATGATACAAGCATAGAAATGAAGCTTACATGATGCCAACATAATGCTAACATGATGCTAAAGTGATGCTAACGTGATGTTAACATGATGCTTACATGATACTAACAGGATTTTAACGTGATGCTAATGTGATACTAATATGATGGTAACATTAGGCTAACGTAATGCTAACGTGAAGCTAACACGATGCCAACGTGATGCTAACATGAGGCTGACGTGATGCTAACGTGATACTTAGATGATGCTAACATAATGCAAACTTTATGCTAATTTGATTCAGAGTCAGAGAAAAAGATCATTTCACATAAAAATAAAATAAAATAGCAAAACTTGTTCATTAAAGCTGATGGACGCCTCAAACAGCTCTGATAACGCCAACCGCAGAATTCCTGCCCGCGCACTCATTTAAAAACACTTAGAAAACTTGGATGTTTCAAGTTCAAGTTGCCTGTTAGCTAGCTAAAATTAATCCACTGTCGGATTAAATGACTCAGAGGAAATGAGCAAAAACATGGCCTCAGTTCTTCTCTGACCTTTTCACTGAATAATAATAATAAACTGAAAAGCAAATTTGACAAATCCAATTTGGATATCATTCAAAATGTATTTAGTTGCAGCAAGCTAATCCTGCTAAACTCTGAAGCTAGCTTTAGCACAGTTTTAACCACTTTCATCAGAGAGATAACTACTTTTTTCTTTTTATTTCCGTTTCATCACAAGGAGTTGGGTGTATGATGTTTTGGAGGACACTAGCTAAACTAGGTAGCTTAGCTTAGCTAGCTTGAAGCTATCTTGCCTAGCCTGAACGAGCTAACTTAGCTATCTTAGCGCAGCTTTTAGAAACTTAAAGAAAAGTTTATAAGTTGCCTGTTAGCTAGCTAATGATCAATCTGCTGTCAGATAAAATGACTCAGAGGAAATGCGCAAAAACATTGCCTCAGTTCTTCTTTGACCTCTTGACTGAATAATAATAATAAACTGAAAAGAAAATTTGACAAATTAACCACTAAATTCAAACTAAACATTTAAATGTAATTCAAAATATGTTTAGTTGCAACAAGCTAATCCCACTGAACTCTGAAGCTATGTTTAGCATAGTTTTAGCCACATTCATCAGGGAGAAAACTACTTTTTTTCTTTTTGTTTCTGTTTCATCACAAGGAATTTGGTGTATAAGGTTTTTGAAGGATTAACATTTGGAATTTTCTGGAGGGGAAACACTAGCTAAACTAGATAGCTTAGCTAGCTCGAAGCTAGTTTAGCTAGCCTGAGCGAGCTAGCTTAGAGCAGCTTTTAAAAACCTAAAGAAAAGTTTACAAGTGTCCTGTTAGCTTACTAATTATCAACCTGCTCTCAGATTAAGTCATTTAAGAGAAAATGAGCAAAAACATGGCCTCAGTTTTAATTTCACCTTTTATCTGAATAACCTGAAAAGCACATTTGACAAATTAACCACAAAATTTTCAGTGAACATTTGAATATTGTTCAAAATGTATTTAGTTGTAACAATCCTAATCCCACTGAACAGTGAAGCTAGCCTTGTTAGCTTTAAGCAAGGCCAAAGGTTCAGCACAATTTTAGCCACTTTCATCAAAGAGCAAACTACTGTTTTTTTGTTTTATTTCTGTTTCATGATAAGAAATTTGATATTAAAGGTTTTGGAGGATCAACATTTTCTGGATAGGACACACTGGCTAAGCTACGCTATTAGCTTAGATTGCTTCAAGCAGCTCTTTCAGTTCAGATTCTCATTTCACTCTTTTCTTTATTTGACTTTGGACTTTTTGTTTTTGACTTTTGTGCTTCTGCCACCTCAGAAATGATGAGTTTGATAGATTTTATCGTCTCTGAAAGGAAGTGAGAAGAATCTTAGTCTGATTTTGCAGTTCTGGTGCACAGTTTTAACTAAGCTAGCAGCTATTCTCGGTGTTTGCTCGCTCACTTCCTGTATGGGATGTCCCACCTGGGGGAGAACCTCTTTGTCATCGTTCCTCTTTAGTCCGATGACACCTGGACACATGTTTTTGTGGGAATTTATGGAACTTCCAGTGACCTAGATGGCGTTTGGCCTGGTCCCACTTGGTCACGGTTGGATTTTCCCAACATACAGGCTGAAATAAACTTAGGAAGTGACTGTAAAGGGCAACCCAAACAGCCCAGCCCTCACAGGATTCCATCACTCAGCCCAATGTAAACAACTGTACGGTATCAACATCCTGCCCATCCAAACAGGAAGAACCTGATGCTAACGTGATGCTAACGTGATGCTGATGTAATATTAATGTGATGCTAGCATGATGTTAACATGA